CATACAACAGGTCAAGCGCTACCTCCCGCAGGCAGGGCGCCGGCCCCAGGACAGCAAGGTGAAAGCGCAGACCGTGAAGGAGGCACGCTTGGCCATGGACACCAGCAGTGCCCAAGAGACCTCGGATTCTTTTGGACAGCTACCTCACCGGCACCAGCCTCAGCAGCAAGTGCAGCAGCCAGCCCAGGAGGAGGTGGTGAACTATTTCCCTCAGGGTTTCCTGGAGTTCGCGAGGTCACGGGCGACATCGACCCCGAGGAGCTGAGTGGCTTTGCCTCGTGGCAGGGCGAAGTGGAAGTCTTTGGCACGAGTTGGAGGTTGAGGAAGTCTTCTCCGATGAGGAGTGTGGGCCTGATTGGGACCCCAATGCTGAGAGGCCTCCACACCTCCAGGGCGAGGACCTTGAGCAGGTCGACCGGGCCGCCGACTTGAAGGAGCTGACCAGGCTTCTTGAGATGGGTGTGCTGAGCCAGCGGGGAGAATGAGGATGTTCGCCAGTACACCCACCTAACCACCAAGCTGGTAAGGGACTGGCGCAAGAGGCCCGGTGGACGCGGAGGTCAAGGCTTGTTGCAAGGGAGTTTCGTGCAAACGCCCCGTGGTCCGAGGAGATGTTTGCCCCAGCATCAGCTTGGGAGTGGTGCACAGCTTTCTCATTTGGGCCATCTCGGCCGGCCTCGAGGTGGTCGGCCTGGACATAAAGGACGGCTACCTGCAGGTGCCACAGCCAGCCCCTGCAATCGGCGAGGTGACCTACGTTCTCGAGCGCCTTCTCCCAAAGCAAAGGATTGGGGCTAGTGCATGGTATCACTTCGCAAAGGACTTGCTGAAGGAGGCGGGTATGGAGAACTATGTCAAGGAACCCACGCTTTTCCGGAGCCAGCCCAGCAAGGAGCGAGCAGGAATGATCTTGCATGCGGACGACGGGTTGCTCGCTTCTTCCGCCCGAGAAAGAAAGCGTATCCTCGGAGTGCTGAGTTCACGGGTCACCTGGCTCCAGGTGAGCAAGCCATTGGTTGAGCCCAGGGACGAGATAGAGTTCCTCAAGCGCCGCTATGTACTGAGCAAGGAAGGCATTGTGGTTTTCCCAAACAACCGTTATGCAGAGGTGCTCTTTGAAGGTGTTGGGACAGGTGCTAAGCCCCGGGACACCCCAACTGACAACAGCTTCTTGGAAGGGGACACCAGCCGAGAGCTGGAGGTTGCTGAAGCCCGCAAGTACAGAGAAGCCGTTGGGAGGCTCTTGTATTTGAGCCACTCAAGAGGTGACTTGCAATTTGCAACTTGTATCCTTGCAAGCAAGATGGCCCAGCCCACGGCTATGTCTTGGAAATGGTTGCAAAGGGTGATTGGTTATTTGAGGAAGGTCCCTATGGTGGGCATCGTCCTGAAGCTAGCTCGTCCAGAAGCCTGCTTCGGCTACGGTGGAAAAGCCAGCAACTTAGGGCCTGGAGCAAGGGTGTTGTTGTGGAATCGATCACCGACGCTGACTGGGCAGGCGACAAGCAGACCCGGCGGCGCCCGGCGGTCGCGAACATCAATTCAGATCTTCGTTGCGGGCAGCATGGTTGCAAGCTTTGTTCGGAGCCAGCGCTCCATAGCACTGTCAAGTGGGTAATCAGAGTTTGTGGCTCTGGTTGGCGGCTCCTCCGGGGCTTTGTATATAGCTGACTGTTTGCGTTTTCTTGCTGAAGCAGATAGCTTAATTGGAGATCGAAGTGAGGAGCAGGTCGGATTCGGCGGCGTGCAAGAAGAACTAGCGGATTCTTCAAAGGCGTTGGCCTCCCCTTGTCCTTCCCTGCTGCATGGTTTTCTGCCTTTCTGCTGCTCTACTCAACATTCGTTGCCAGCTGTCACCCCCACTTGACCCTGTTGCCCTGACCGTTGTGTGAACCTGGCAGCGGAAGTATGACAGAAGAGGGGTGGGACATGCACAAAAACTCGCCACAGGTACCGTCGGATAACAACTGAGCCAGACTGATTCCTCGGAAATTCGGGTGGGTGCTGTTTTGATCCTTTCGAAGCTTTCGGTCGTCGGTATCGTCGGCTCGATGCACCCGTCAACAGAAGAATGCCGCTGCTGCGCGAAGCACTTGCACACCCCTTATTCACCTTGCCCCCCAAGCCTTGAATCAACCCTGAATATCCAATCCTAAATGAGGAATCGGACTCTTGACATGCTAGGGCTGATCATGACATGCTAGGGCTGATCATGGCAGGAATTCTGGATTTGGCGGCGGGCGAGGTCGGACCAAACGACGCAGGGCAACCGCCGAGGCACGACTGGAGTTTCGTGGCTTAGGGTCTTTAGAGCTCTAAGGAAGTAGGGTGATGCTTGTTATTCACATATTCAGCTCTCGTTCAGGCGCGATTCGGGCACAAGTGCAGAAGCGGATTCAAGCATGGGTGGTTGCAGTGGATTCGGGGTTTGATGTTTCTCAGGGTTGCGGTTTCGGCTTACACACTTTGTAGCTTAGGGCTTGTAGGGTTGAGGGTTTGGTGTTCTTACTTTTGTTTTGGGGGGGGTCTAGGTTTATACTGTTTAGGGTTTCACGGGTTGACGGCTTTGCGTGCTCAGTTCGGGAGATAGATTGTTCTGGGCGTTTCTGGTGTTGTTGGTCCTACCATATGTATGTGTGTGTGTGTGTGGCAGTTTTTTTCGCTTTTTGATTCCCCAATTGTGCCCGAATCTTGGTTGGTCGATCCATTGTTTACTCGGGCCTGTGGTCCCACGGTCTTCTTTTGAAATGACACAACCCCCAAATGTGCCCTCAATGACCAACATGCATTGAAGACTGCCCTCATGCCGAATGGCATTGGCTCAAGGCCGGACACGACTGGCTTGAGAGCACATAGGATTGATCTGCTTGTGTGTGTGTGCGTGCGTGTGCACGTGTTTGATTGTGTTAGGGAGAGTGTCTGATCTCGGTCGGTATTGAGTGTCACGATTGTATTGTTGAATTGTTGAATTTCGCATGGCAGTGGAGCTTCATCTCCAGACCAGAGAAAGAATGAAAGGGAAATGCATTACGGAGTTAGAGGAATTTGTGGTTAGATCAAATTATTCCCCGGCAGTTTACCGCGGCGGGTTGGAGCAATTGGAAGGTTATGGCATTTGAAACGACATGATGTTGGTTGGCACAAGCCCGTTGCAAAGCTAGTGATGGACGATGTAGAAGGCTCCAACCGAGTGGTCACTGATGGCTTGAGTGAGGCCTTTGATGTTTAACAGACTGTGTCACCACACAACCAACCGTCATTGTTCTCACGACAAGTGGCATACAGACATGTTGGCACAGATCATTGATGGTGCTGCCCAGGCGATTGTTCGAAAGGGGGACACGGAGAATGGACTCGGGATTTGAATAAGATTGCATAATCAGGTTGCATTGCCAGAAAGAACGAGAGCCACGAGATCACTGCCTTCAAGCCGAAAAGCGAGCATCTGGAAAGTGACCTGAGTGATTTCATCAGACGGTTTTGAAGGCGCGAGAATGCATCGGTATCTTAGATACGCAGCTAGGAGGCACAAGTAGCCAATCTACCACCAATCGAGGTACTTCAAACCCTGCAAAACCTACACTTATACAGACAGTCTTATACACGCCCGATAGAAGCATTGTGAAACCTTTGGTACGGTGGATAGTTGCAGGCGGCTGCCCTCGACTGATCGGATGTGGAGATCTCAGGGCTAACCGCAACCATCATCCCTGTCCCGAATCCCATTACTTCTCCTACTTTCAATCCATCTTTCTCCTTGCAAAATTAGGTACTGTCGCAAAGAAGTCTCCACGACACCACTGATTTTGTGGAACCTGCGCTCTGAGCCCTGAGTCTGAAACAGCTTGACCGTGAGCCCTCCACATCCCCATCTTAAAAGCTTAACCCTGTTTGATAATACAAACCAACCTGAAACACTGGCTGCAAGGCGCAAGCATTGGGCCCCGCTTACAAACCGAGCCATTGCGCCGGGTCAAGACCGCGTGCGGGTACCCAGGCGCTGGAGTTCAGCGTCTCACTCGAGTTAGATTCACAGTTTAGCGCTGCCGGGGCTATAGTTTAAATGTTTACGAACGAGCATTGTCTACGTCTTTGTCGAACCAGTTTTGGCAAAGTATAAACCTTTACAAGACAAGCCTGAACGAGACACGACTCTAATGTACAACAACCTCCGAATCCTAAGCGCCTGCAAAATTCTGCGAGGCTCTGCACAACCTAAGCCAGTCTCATACTTCATATGTTTGCTCAATTCTTGCGCGGCCGCGAAACGTGTTGGAACCTGATTCACGAACCCTAACATCACAACCTCAACCCCAAAGCCTGTATCCCCTAGGTCTTAGGTTTGAGCTCAATCCATAAAGGCCAAGCCAAACCGCCCAAGCACCCGACACCATGCAACCCCTAGAACTCCAAAAGTCTTGAATGGACAATCCTGGATGTAGATCCTACAAGTTGCCATGATGCGATTGTTTTGATCAACTCGCATACCTCGGAGAGCCCAAGTTAAGCCGTCAATTAGCCGTATGGGCTTCAATGACAGCGCTCCATGAACTTGCTGGGGCCTATGTACTCCTCTGCGCCCCGTACGAAAAGCTGAGGTCATGTTGGACAAGCCGCCTGGTCAGCTCGGCGGCATATGCAGATTTCTTCGAGGGATTGGTTCTTTTTCTCAGTTCTTCGTGAGGGATTCTAGTTTTGCCCTACCGGGTTTGGGTTGAAGGGGCGTTTGGCATGTTGAGAGGGTTGGTCCTGTTTTTCATGCATCTGGAATAGGATCCTACCTCCGAGCGTCTATGTTAGGATCCTTTTCTGTATACTGCAGTGCTGTTTCAAGCAACGCCCCTTATGACGACATAGCTGAAGCAGGAGAATTGACATCTCAACTGATCCGAATCCTTCAGTCTAAGCCATGACACTGGAAGTTTGTACCAAGTTGTGAAAGGCCCACTTGACTGTATCATATTTGTTGAAGCCTCTCGGGTCTACGACCCAGCACGTTCTTGGTAGCCTCAACACCGATTTGCCATTCCTTGACGACTATCGGGATCCTGTACTTCGAAATTGGGGGTGTCTGGTTTGGGTTAAGATTCTGACTGCCAGCGCCTTGGCTTCTAATTGGCTGCCGATGACGATAAAGGCTTCAGATTTGCGTGTTAGGGTTTGCTTTAGGGTTTGGGGTTTAGGGTTCGATTCAAGGGTTTAGACGTTGCGGGCCAGTTATGGGTTTGCAGTTTCGGCGCATTCGCGCTCTGGGTGTCTCACACTCATGGCAGTGCCATTGCGGGATCAATACTGCCACAATGAAAAATGGGCGCAGTTTTCGGTGGTCCTCAACGGTCTAGCTTTTCCATGGTGTTCGGTATCAGGGTCCATCATATATCGAAGTCCGAGACGACGATTAGCAGGAATTCACTTGACCCTTAGACGTCGACAAGTCAACCCTTTGTAGATCCCAAATGCCCTAAGCCGTTCAAGCTGCAACGTCTAGCGGACAATACTCCGGTCCTCAAGCCACAGTGTGATTGACGGAACTCAGGGGACAGGCTTTAGAAGTTTAGGGTTTCAGGAACCTAAGCTCTAAACAGCAGGCTATTTGGTCGTTCAGCTGCAGAGGGGGAGCTACTACTCCAAAGATCTGAATGCGCTCGACAACGAGGCGGTTCGGGTTCAGGGTGTACCCTTGCCACCGAATACGGCAATGTGTCCACAGCCACTACATGCCTCACATCGCCCACGTCCGTCTGATAATCCGATCAGGTTCAAGCCTGAACCCTGAGCTCGACAGCGCTTTGAAGTTACGGCATAATTAACATTCATAAAGCCTCATAAAGCACTTAAACCGGCTACTCCACATGTAGGATGCACTGCAAAGATTTAAACTGCTCTGCACTCCCAAGATCCGACAACATCAAGCTGTCCTGCGTTAATCGTCGCCAGATTAATTATTCAGGTGTACTTACAGACGAGTTCTCTGGGTTACAACTGGAGGTTTTAGTTTAAGCTGTGTTTTGTAATGTAGACCCTTTGCCACAACCTTGCCAATGTCAAGTGCCCGTCAGCGACCAAACATTCTAAGGCCCTAAGCCTACCAAGCAGGACTTCGAGAAATACCAGCTTTTTGGCCCGGCACCCAACTTGCCTTGTCAGGATCTCAGAAAGGACCTTGTTGCTGATGGTTTAAGGTTAAGTTTTCGCTTTGAGTTGGGCTTAGGGCAGCGTGTATGTAGGGTTTGAGGAGAGTTGGGATTGTTGGGTTGACCACCCGTGTCTGATCCGTGTTCCCATTTCTTTGCGCTCGTTCTTAGTAGCAAGGCAACGGCCATCTTTCGTAGCAATAGGGTTTAAGGTTCGGAAGACCACCACGGCTGAGGTCCGTTTTGCAGTATTTCGCCTGCAGTTCAGGGCCAGTGTTTAGGGCACCAGGTACGCAGGTTTTCTGGGTTCGCATGGCAGTTGGTGGGGTGGTGCAACTCGCCACGGTCGTAGAGACGGAAAGACATGGTGGAATCTGAGAGCCACCCTACAAAGAGGCATGTCCAGACAGCAGCCACAGTATCTACGGAAGTGGGAGCTGAGAGCGGGCTCACGTATTCAGCATTTGAGGCAGGCT